ATTTCGGGGTCTGCCTCCTCCCTGCTCAGCCGACCTAACACACACCTTTAAACTAATAATTAGTTGAACGACCATTTGATTTAATTACAGCATTCAGTCTTTTTGGATTCATGCCTCCATCAATTAAAGTGACTCTGATTAACCCCAAATAAAGTTCAGCTGTCCTAGTAGGATTTTTCTGACATTTACTCAGTTGCATCCTACACCAAAAGCCATGGTTTGAGGGAGCTTACGAAGTATCAAAGGGATCTCATTGTTGAAAGATCAGTCAGGAGAAGGGTACAGAAATATTTCCACAGCATTAGATATACCATGGAACTTAGAGAAGACAGTCATGAAGAAGTGAAGAAAATATGGAACAACAGTGGAATTACAGAGAATTGGACGTCCCTCCAAAATTTATGAAAAGACAAGACAAAAACTGCTCGGGGAGGCAGCCGAGAATCCTATAGCAACACTGAAGGAGCTGCAGGAATTTCTGATTGTTGTTGTGACAACAATCTCCCATGTTCTCCATATGTCTGGACTATGGGGTAGGGTCACAAGACAGAAGCCTTTTCTTACAAAGGAAAACATCCAGGCCCAGCTAAATTTTGCAAACCATGTGGGAAAATGTGTTATGGTCTGATGAAACCAAATTTTTTTGGCCACGATTCCAAAAGGTACGTTTAGCACAAAAACAACACTGCATCACCAAAACAAAACCATACCCATGGTGAAGCACGGTGGTGGCACCATCATTCTTGGGGTTGTTTTCCTTCAGCTGGAACTGGAGCTTTTGTCAAGGTGAAGGGAATTATGAACAGTTACAAATACCAGTCAATTTTGACCCAAAACCTTCAGGTGTCTGCTAGAAAGCTGAAGATGAAGAGGTACAGTACAATCCCGTTATAAAGGACTTTAAGGGATCTGGCAAAACAGTCCGTTATATCCAAAGTCCGTTATATCCAGAGTTGCTCTATGCCCAGAACACAACTACAGGACACCATTTACTCATGCCACACCCCAGCAGACACACTTGTGGTATAGATCATTATATTATACATGTAGTAATCCAACTTTCCTGTAGTAATCCTGACTGTTGGAAGTATATATGCCGTATTAGTGGTTATACAGGTACAGTACAGTAGTAACATTGACCTCATTGCTTACTGCATCCCTCCAGCTGTGAGCGTCGTCTGCCAACGCACAGCATGCATGGTGATGGACAGCCACACAAACCAATCAGTGTTGTCTGCTGTTACGCCATGCCTATTTATCACCGGCACGCCATGCACCTTGTAGGCAGAGCCTGCATGTCCGTTATAACCGAACAAAGCTACAGCTAAAAGTGGCCCTGGGGACCAATTTGTTTGTCTGTTATAAGCGAAATTCCGTTATATGCGAGTCTGTTATATCCGATGCTTTTTCTTCATGTTCGTACTGTAAAGGTCGCACGGCCAGGAGCAGCGGACCTCATCCGTTATAGACGATATTCCGTTATAAGCGAGTCCACTATAACGGGATTATATTGTATTTCAAGATTCAAGAAGTTTGTCACATGCACAACATGCAGTGAAATGTAATGTAGCCCTGAATCACTCCTGAGTCTGTGTGCAGATTTAAATAACATTAACAAAATAAAAACAGTTTTGAAAGACTAAACTAAAACTAAAAATTTAATCTAACAACCACATAGCAAAGAAGTAATATGAACTACTCAAGTAATTAGGATTTAAAGTGGCATTGTGCTTGTCCAGTGCGGGCAGAGCGAGGCATGTCTTGGTTGAGGAGCCTCATGATCTGAAGATTAAAGCTCCTTCTGAGTCTCTCTGTTCTTGTCATGAGGCTGCTGAACCATTTGCCTGAGAACAGACAATTGCTGGGGTGGGAAGGGTCTTGAATGATTTTGATCGCTTTGGTCCTGCAGCGCTTTTCAGAATTTCACCTTTCAGCACAACAATAACCTCAAGCACATATCTAAATCAACAAAAGAATGGCTTCACCAGAGCCCAGAACTGTGGGGTGACCTGAAGAGGGCTGTGCACAGGAGATGCCCTCGCAATCTGACAGATTTGGTGCGATTTTGCAAGGAAAAGTCAAGATGTGGCATGCTGATAGACTCCTACCTAAAAAGGCTGAATGCTCTAATTCAGGGTTCTTCAACTCTTGGACCTCGATTCCAAATCCAGGCCTTGTTTTCAGTTCTCCCAGGTAGTTGTTTAATAATTACTGATTCTGATTGGTCAGAGGCTTCACACCTGGCTCACAGGTAAAGGAAGGCTGGAAAACCAGCAGTGCTCGGACCTTGAGGACCGTGAGTTGAATAACCCTGCTCTAATTAAATCAAAATGTGCGTCAAACAAGTATTAGTTTAAGGGGGTGCACACTTATGCAACCAATTTACTGTTTAATATATATATATTTTTCCCTCTAACAGATATTTGTTGGAAAATGAATCGCTACTTTAGGAGTACTTCACGGTATTTTACTTAACAGAAAAACTGGCGAAATATTACATTTGATTTCACAACGTCAGTTTGACGTCAGATGTCACTGCGTATTCACGTTTTGACCGAACGCGAGATGGTGAGCGAATTTGAAACTGAGGACACACCCCCCGATCTTAAATCGGCGGTGTGGCAACATTGTAGCTTTCCGGTAATCACAAACGAAAAGCACAGACAAGACGAAAACTGCGTGCAAACATTGTAAAAGACTGATAACGTACACAAATAGCACAACAAACATGCTTCAGCATGTCCACCGGCATCACAGTGAGCTCAATTCACCAGTGAATTATTAAAGATTATTAAAAGGGCAAACCACGCTAAAAAGCTGCACATGCAAGCCTTAGTTTATTTGGTAACGCTTTATATTAAGAGCACCTTCATAATGCATTCATAGAACGTTCTAAGTAGCATTTAAGTACACTTTAACATCCTAACATCATTAAACAGCTTTAATAGACAATAATAAGAAATATTACATGATTACACAATTATAATGTTTGTTATTATTAAATAATGATCATTATTAATGTATATTGCAGCTGTTAAGGGATGTTAGGATGTAAAGGTATACATGCGTGATGTTTATGAATGATTTCTGAATACTTAATGAATGCATTATGAAGGTGTACTGAACGTTTTATGAATGCAATATAAAAGCCTTATGAAGGTGCAGTTAATGTAAAGTGTTACCTTTTATTTGAAGATGTTTTGTATTTATTTTGATTTGGGATTTATTTTTTACAGAATTTTATTCAGCTTCAGTTGCGCTGTTAAGAAGAGGACATGTTTTGCACAGTTTAGAAAGATAAATAAAGGAATTTTTGAATAAATTTGTCTGCAGCTCATTCTGTTAAAAAATTGTGAGAAATTATATCGTGAACTCAGAATCGTATCGAATCGTGAGATGAGTGTATCGTTACATCCCTAATAGATACTATAAGGCACAGGTCAATGAAGTCTTGAAAGATAGAATTCATAGACTGAAACACAGAGGGGGTGCTGGACAGCCCGAATGGCAAGATGAAGTACTCATAATGGCTGTGCATGGTAATGAACATCCAATTCATCCACTTGAGGCAGCCCAGGTATGGAACTCAAAGACCAATTCAGCTGGCAAATGCGATCACTGACGGAGCTCAAACAGCTGGTTGCTGACCTCTTTTTCTTGTAGCAGGTGATTGAAGACCTCCCCTGTGTATGTGATGAAGGCATAAAAGGATCACGACACCAGGCTCTGCTGGTAGAACAGTACCAGAGTGCATTTTTGTCCAATCAGGAGAGTAATGACCAAGTCAACCTGGTCAGTATCTGAAACAAATTGTGTTATGCGGAATTTACAGCTTGCACGGAATCAGAAACCCTCTGCAATGCTCAGAGGATCTATCAAAGGCGTGGGATAGCGGTGGGACAGAGAGAGAGAGACAATAGTGTCACTGCAGGCAGGGATGCTGGAAGCTAAGCTATTAGACAGTAACGATGGGTATGATGTGAGCAGTATTCATATCCACCAAAATTCATAGAGCACTGTCACGGATCAGCCCAAAGGAACCCTGTTGATGTCATACCCCTGCCACTTAGATTCCTCGTCACAGCAGCCATGCCCCTGCCCCATCCCCATCTGTGAACCCCGCCTGCTCAGGGAAGTCTGACTTAACATGCGCCTCGGGATTGCTCGCTCGATTGCTCGATTCTTATTTACAACCATGCCCCTCTGCAACTGTCAAGGTTTTCTCTTGATTGCTGCTGGTATTGTCGTTCCTGTGAGTCAGTTCTCAAGCACAAGATCTCAGTATCTGAGAGTTCAAGCAGAAGAGAGTTTTGTCTGTCTGTTTATCTTTCGACCCTTGCCTGTCTCTTGACTTCCTCCTCTGTTCGCTGACTTGGATTCTGTTTGGCCTCTCCAGTTTTTGACCTGGACCATGATTTTTGACTTCTGTAATGAAGCCCTCTGTCTCACACTCCCGTCACAAGTACTTCCACTCCCTGTTAGCTCTGACAGGACTGGGATATATAGAGAGATTGGAGCCAGCTGAGTTTAAGCTAGAATATGAACATTTATAAAAGAGACATATACATGTATTTCTTTGAAACAAATGCATTCCATTTGTATTTAAAGTATTAAACTACCATCTTAGTTCAATAGAGTGATTAAAGACACTTCTTTGTAAGATGTTTTCCATTAAAGAAAGGACGTGTTTTACCTCTGCAAGAAAAGTAATGAAGGTTGAAGTAAAGATAATAATAAAAAGTTTTAAATGAATCATACCCACTATAATGCATGTTGATACCACCATTTCAAAGACTTATCATGCTGATAAAGTATATATATTTTAATGTATTGGATTTAGCAGCAGCTCTTCCCCAAATAGCAGCTGTTAATTTACTTTCCAAAATAACCGCGAGGGGAAAAAGCAGAACTGCAAATTCACGGATAATAAAGACCTCCTGAGACTGGGTCCACTATTTAAAATATACTGCTCCACCAGATAAAATGGGAAAAGTGCAGACTTCAACATAATCCACTGTGTTTTATTGTTCCTATTTTTATAGTACAGTAAAGGTGGATTTTCACTTAAATGTGTAGCCTCGTACTTTGTAGGAGTGTTGACTGTATTTTTTACTGGTATACAGGTGCGGATTCCTGTGGTTAGAGTAACTGAAATTATATTCCACAAAGATATTTCATGTATATGCTGAGATTAAAAACACAGACCAAAACATATTATGTAAATGATCCCCCCTACCAAAGATACATAATACAGTTTCCACTAAAAAACATCTGTACAACAGCGCTAAACTTTAAATACTACAACCAACATTATAGTAAATAAAACTCCTTGTGTAATTTACATTTCTAGAGACTTTTTTGTGTTATCGGACTCCCCTTTCACTAACTTTCCACATCAGTATGCACTAAAGACCTTATAAACACTTAAAGAGAACATCTTAGTATGTTAGAAGATTCTTATTTACAAAAACGTAAGCCTCCAAAGATTTAAGAATCAGCCACTTCAGTCAAACAGTAGCTAATTAAGAAAATATCCACTAACATAACTAAAGGAAACATTGCAGATGCTATCCTTGTACTGTAATAATCAATCATATTAGTTGGGGTTTACTAGTTTCATCAAATGTAAAATCCCAAATCATTCAGTCCAAACAGCTACTGGAAACTAAACACTTCCTGCTCCTCAGTTACAGTTCTTTTGGGTCTCCATAATCATTGTACAGTACAGACAGGTGCTGTTCCTCACAGGCCTTGCGTACATCCTGCCCAAGGTTCAGCCAGTTGAGGGTGACAGCCTTCGTGTCAGTGTAACGGCAGGCCAGGTATTTGATAGCTACTCTCCGTAAGCCGATCTTGGGCTCCTGCAGAAGTCGCTTGCACCAGCCGCTCACGTCGTTTAGCTGCGACAGGATGAGCCCAGCTTTCCTGCATTGGAAACAAAGAATATCACATCATAATAAACTGACACTAAGCTTAATCTGTAAATGACAGAAGACACAGTGTAAATTGGTAAGAGAAGAGAATCAAAAAGATTTTAAGTATTGATTTTATTGAGTAAGTTAAGAAAGAAAACTTAGTAAAGATTTTAAGTACCCTTTAAGTACTGAATCAAGAATTATAAAGGTACAAAGAATGACATTGACCAATATGACTAAGACATGGAAACAAACATGGAAAAAGAAGTCTTTCTGAAGATCATTGAGATTAAACACCTCAAATTGACACACTTATTTAGCTGCAAAGCAACAAACAAATGGGGATTATTGAGCAGGGTCAGCCTCAATCAGTCAGAATCAATGGATAAATTGGTATTAAGGGCCTTGTTCAAGGTCACAACAGCGAAATCCCCCTGCCAACCACGGTATTAGGACCAGCCACCTGTCAATCACGGGAACAGAGCCATTACTGAAAGATTTCAACTGGGAAGTTAAAAATGATGGAATGGAGATCAAGCGGAGATCAAGAAATACAAAGAAGGACTCTACACCAAAGACAACGACAGCCAAGGCCTATTCTATTCTATTACCCCTGACCTCAGAATTATAAGGGGATGCCAGATTAGCCCTGGAAATGGGCATAGATGACATCACAATAAAATATTACAAAAAAAATAGTATAACTTGTAAGGGGGGCTGTCAGAAATGACAGGATTGTATTCCCCAGATAGTGCTGTTGCTCGCACCCCCCCCCCCATAAAATCCCTATTCCTCCCACACGCCCCAACTTGTTCAGATTCTTAAATTGCTGGATCACCTGGAAATGTGAAAATCAATACATGTGTTTTAACCTGAATGCTCCAAGTACATGTAGCTCTGAACCTACACCTACAAATATTGCATATTCCACTTACATACCGAACTGCAGAATCTTTCCCCACCAATTACGTGGTTACCTCTGTTTCTTTGTGTAAGTTTTAATGTCTATGCCTTTGTGATGACCTAGGAAGGGTGGAGGGAAAGGCAGACATTGGGGGAAACGGAAGGGGTTCTATTCAACAAAACACAATACAAAAGGGCAAAGAAACCAGACCGCAAGGGGTCAACACAAGGCAGGGAGTGCAGGGGGGAGACACAGGGCACTGGGTAACCAAAGGGGTAGCTCAGGCAGCAGGATCACACACGCGACAATACAATGACCGGACTGGGGAGCTCAGGACAAGGAGGCACTATATACACCACAGACGAGGAACAGACGAGAGGCACCTGGGATCATCCACACGAGGGCTGAAATGAGAGGCAACTGGGATCATCCACACGAGGGCTGAAATGAGAGGTGGGGTTAAATGAGGAAGAGGTGTGGCTTCTTAGCACCACACCACAGAGACCACAGGGGAAAAAGGCATGTGGGGCGTGACAGTCACATTTTAGGTATTATGTGAGCTCCATTTCTTAAGAATGTTACGCTAAATGGTGTGCACAATTAAGAAATAATTAACTATCTGTGGCCTATCCAGGGCTACGTACTGTATATATCAAACTATGGAACATTCACAGGTAAATTGGGATGCTAGAGCATCTCAATGCTCTTATGAAGTATCCCCACACTGGACAGGAAGCCACTCTCACGAGATGAGAATCACTTAGAACATGGCCTTCTCATGAATATGGATGTGAACAAAGAAGAAGCAAGACAGGAAGAGTACTGATGCCTTTGAAACGTTTGAGAATAGAATAGAATAGAATAGAATAGAATAGAATAGAATAGAGCATATTGAAAATAAACACATTGTTACTTGTCTAAATCAAGCTGGAACCTCCAGCTGGAACACAAATGTTCACATCGAAGATATCTTATTTTGGGTCTATTATTTACAATATCACTATAAAAGGCCACATGGTTGTGAAAAGTTAATGGTAAAGAGGAACTGCATCACCAGCAAGGAAACAATAAATGAATATACCACTTGGATGCTTAAAAGAACCAGAGACAGGACAAGACGTTCCGGAAAAATGTCATTTGATTAGTCACCATAAGCACACATTCACTGAAATATTATTCACATTATCATTTAATATGGTGTGTTTCTTTTCTGTTTTTAAAACGGCAGACATACACTTAAAAAACCTTATGTCTGTATCTCTCAGCCTGGTCTGCATGTGTGTATTGAATTTCTTCTGAAGGTGTGTGGGAGTAACCTTCAGCAAAGGCTTGAAGTTAACTTGTGAAGACACAGGAAGTACAGCAGGCCAGAAAACAGTGCAGGACACACAAACCAGTTTGGTGAAAGTTTTAACAACATTAATTGCCAACTCACATCTAGGGCTGCCACTGACGACTGATTTTCTATGGATTAATCTATCGACTATTTTACTGATTGTTCGATTAATCTAAATAATCCTCTTGATCAGAATCAAATGATTGAGCAAGGCCCCTAGCCTCAACTGCTCCTGGGCCTCTAGACAATGGCTGAGCTGAGCTGTGACCCCAAAGCTTCGCTGTTCCCAGCATTTGCGCCTGTGTGTTTCATGGAGAGCAAGGTAAGACAATAGAATAATAACTATTGTATCTAACAGATTATCAGTCTGCACAATTATTAAGCAATCATTATCTAAAAAACAATTTTAGTTATTCAGTCTGTATAAGGAATAACATACTACTGACTGTCCTATACAGTCCACTTTACCAAGCTTTATGTCCTGTATAGCAGCCTTTCTACTGAATTTCCATCATAACCATTCAAGTTTTTTATTTGATCCCATCTATTATTAGCTGAGACAGCTAGGACCGCCACTCAGACGCTGCCCTGAGAAGTGCACTGCTTGCTACCTTGGTAAAGCTCACACTTTACTAAGACCCATAGTTCTCAATGGGGGTTAAGTCAGGTAATGATGAGGGGCCATGTCTTCAATCACCTTTCAATCTATGGAATGCTTTGATGCATGTGAAAGGATATTGTACTGCATGAAAGCTGCTGACTTCTTCTTGTACCAGTGTTTGAAGAAGACATCTTCTTAAAGTTCATCATTGACAACTGCGGCCCACACCATCACTTTTCCACCACCTTGTCAGTGCTTGAAGAAGGTGTCCATCCATAGCCCCTCCACCAGGACAATCAAAAGTCATTTAATATTATCTGTCCACAAAACCTTTGCAAAATCAGCCTTGAGATGTGTCTGTGCCCATTCTTAATGTTTTGCCTTGCGTGTCTTATCGAATGGAGGCTGTGTTTCAGCCTTTGTGACCTTAGTAATGTCACACAGCACACTGCACCTGGTACTTCTGGAGATTCCCTTTAGATTGCAGTTTTGATAAATGTGACATTTGATGCTAAAGCATTTCTGGAAGCCCCCCCTTTAAATTCAAATTTATCATTGGCATTTAATTTCAGTCTTCTTCTCTCTACATGCTTCTTCCATCTTTGGTTGTTGACCACAATACACTCAATCGTACGGTGATCACATTTTAAAAGACTTGGAATTTTGATTGTTTTGCATCCCACTGACTGGCAATTAACTGTTTTCCCCACTCTCAACCAGGTCCCGATTTTGTGCTGCATAAGTAGCTGTAAGGTGGATGGATGGATGGAATGAATGATGCACGGAGGAGATCTAAACAAGAAAGGTATAATATTGGGTGGAATTGTGATTACCTGGGTCCCAGCTCATCCTCACAGCGCCATGTGAACTCGCCAAAGCTCTCATAGCGCAGGTTGTAGTGGTAAAGGACGCGGTGCAGTGATGGCGAGCCCAGGTCCATCAGTGTGTTGTAGGCTGTCTGCTGCTCTTTTCCGCTAGTGTAGCCGTTAAACAAGTTGTAGATTTTATCTGCGATCTCTGAGGTGGGAGGAAAGGGAAACGACAATATTGTGAAAGCAGGGCCTTCAGCATCTACGCACTTCTTGGAACGATGAGGAGTTTGAGTTACAAAATAAATTTACCCAGAATATAGCTGTATCTCCAGTTTAATAGGGCATGTGCAGAGAAATGTGCTTTGTTAATCAGATTTTTATCAATAAGCTGCATTTAATAAGGCAAGGAGTTAAAAAAAGCGAATATTTCTGTTTTTGTGCAGGCACAGAAAGGGACACCACTCATCCCAAAGAATGTGATGGGAAGCCCCTTCACTCTCTGTGGGTGGCAGCTGGGGAGCTAAACACATACTTTAACACCCTCTGATTAGCTGTTAGTGTCGTGGGTACACAGGCGTGCCTACTCAACTTTATCTGGCAACCTCTCAAGTCCCATTTTCCCTGCAGTTACATTTTCCCTTCCACACAAAGAGAAATACACACATAGAATGATTTTTAGTTAAGCTTTACTGGATGGTATGAAGTGGGTAGAGCTGGGTTTCTGTGATGTAAATTGTGAGAACTCTAAGAATAATTTGTATATTCTCTAAACATCCTTTGTCTGATGTTTGAAATATTCTTGCACATATTTTCCTCAAATAAAGCTATTGCGGTTTTGTTGATATTTTTACCCGTTCTGCTAGAAGGCAAAGCTTGCTAGACCCAGGTGGCAAAGACATATACTGTTTTATTTTTCCCCCGGACAGTATGTGTGATGCCCCTCCCCGCCCCACCATACCCCCGCCCCGCCTACCTTGCGCCTTCACATCATCTACAGAGGGGCAGGGAGTCTTGATGGTAACCTCAGTGGGGTTGGAGCGTCGCCCTGTGTTGTCTACTGCCCACAGCCTGAACCTGACAGACATGACAAAAAATCTGTATAAGTATTTCATTATTACAAATTATTACAAGCAGAACATGGCAGATGGTATTGCATTATTCATGCCTTTTACATAGTAACACATTACAAAACACTAGGGCATATGCGTTGTGTACCATTTGGCTACATCATTATTGGTTCGGGAACGATGTAGCTCTGAAGTGCTTTTGCCAGGAAATTCAGGCCGAGTGACCATCAGGAACATTGCAGGTGGGCAGGTGACGTTTCTGGCCACTGCCAGGAGCACATTTCAGATTCTCATAAACAGATGTACATGCATGTATTAAATAAATGAAAAGAGGGCCCCTCCTGAGTGGTATGCATGTGCATGTATTTATCTCGAATGAAAGAGGCCGGCTCCTAAAATCAAAAATTTAAAGGGTACACACTTGCTTTGCGTGAAATAAAAGAGAAGGGTGGTGCTGAGAGAGAAAAGATGAAGCTAAAAGAAAGGCACTGGAGGAGGGTGCAGCGAAATTCATGAAAATTACAGATTTATTTGTGATAGGTGTGAAAAGTTGCAGTCTGTTAACTTTACAAACACTGCCAAGACTGTTATAAACATGGGTCCCTTTTACGTGCAAAAAAAAGGGTCATACCAAAATGATCAATTTAAACATAAATGTTAACTGAACCACTACAACAAAATCCAAGAAGTACACATTCACCCTTAAGTATACAAAATAAAATAAATATCAAATTTTAGTCACTGCATGCAACTTATAATAGTACAATTATCAGCTACGGCTCTAACACTGGGCATCTCTTACACTTTATTAGGTACAGTATAAAACTTGGTCCTGATGCTGATTGGGCTTTCCATACAATGTCTAGGACTTCTTTTCATGTTGGTTTCCTGATCTCATGATCCTCTTCTGGCATTTCAACTCTGTTGACATTTGGGTGTGCACTTAAATCCTGACCCCTAAAAGTGTCTTTGAGGAATTCCTTCACATTTTATAGGGTTGATCAGTCTCCCCAATCTTGCTTCACCTGACAGTGTTTTGGTAAACCTGTATGGGTCCTTTATGAACTGAGCACGCTTGACGTCCTTCTCATTCCTCAGTTTCCGAGACCATTCTGCTCTTCTGAGTCTGCACAGTTGCCCCCGAAGTCTACTGGTCAAATCCTTTATGCCCTCCTTTTCATCAGCACTTGATCTTTTGAACTGTTTATTGGTTTCTTTTGACAGATATTTGCACTGCAGTTAGTTCAGACGACTGAATTTTCATTCAGTTTTAATATGAAATGCTTCCACACAAATGATGCTTTTGCTCTTTATTTGGATCCTCATCCTCTATGCTCCATTTTCCTTCTGCCATACCACCGAGTAAACGATTAGGAAAATTTTGATCAATGTTTTTAAATAATTGAGTAATTCAGTATAATCGCGTAATCATGACAGGTCGAAACAATTTATCATCAGTGAGCATGTTGTGTAACCATACATACAGCACTGAGGGAGAGAGGACACAACATACGAGCTATTTTTGCATATACACGTATTGAGAGCGGTGTCTTGTAGCAAACAATAGCAATAACTAATTAACAGGAATGATCATTCACTCAATGACCTACATGCATAGCATTGTTTTGGTTTTCAGATACAGCTACTTACATGTAAGTGGTGTCCGGTTCCAAGCAGCGGATGATCATGCTAATAGAGGAAGTGAGCAGGTCAGGAATATCTGCCAGCATGACACACGGCGACTTGGCCCCAGAGAGGATATCGTCCACAAAGCTCAGCATGGTCTCTGTCAGGACACATTATATGTTAATAGAAGTACTGTTTAAAATCATCTGCGCTGGTGCACATACTCCACAGCAAAATTTTTATCAAATATACATATTTTATTGTCTAGTAATATAATAATAATAACAATAGTAGTAGAATGTGAGCAGAGGGAGATGGCAATTCCGGGAGGCTTACAGATCTACCGATTTTAAATGTTACTGTTTGATTTAGAGTAATCAATACATAATGTTTGCAATACATATACAGTGCCTTCAGAACAGCATTCAGACCTCACCACTTTTTCCAAACTTTCTTGTGTGTGCTATTAACTAAGGTGTAGGATAATTGATGGTTTTATTAGAGGGATGTTTTATGTATGTTCTGAATTTACAGAAAAGAGGTCGGTTCTGCAATATACAACTTGACAGCTAATGGATCAAGTGTTTATTGAAACTGGATTAAACAGATGACCAAAAGTATCATAATCATATCTTGAGATAAGTATGACTGTACAGAACACATTCATAAGAGGAAAGCAATAAACATACACAGGTAAAAAAAGGTTGTTGTAAAACAGACAAACTTCAACGTCAGATGAGTAAATTAGGTTTATACATGCTATACGTTTTGCTTCTAATGATCTATACATAATGTTTTACATTTGGTCAGTTTCCATAGCTGGGTATTTGATGCATAAATTATGCTAATAGAGCAGAACCTTCCACCATGAGAGTAAGAGCAAATCTGTACATAATAGGCACAGTTCAGTTCTATAGGGAGCTTAGCAGTCATTAACAAGACCATGAAGAGCCTAAGTGAGGAGCAGAAATTGAAAGTTTTCACTGGTACTCATATGATTCTCATTTAACATGTATAATTTTAGATTGCCCTTTGATTCCATTAAACAAGAAATAAACTGAACACCCCATTAATCGCCTTTCATATCTCCTACCTTCAATTCATGATGACCTCAAGGCCTTATTACTTGGTTGAGTCCACATGCAGCTTTTTTCATTAAATATAAATGTCCATTGAGACAGGCCTGGAATAGCTCCCTTGGTAGCTGACCAGTTTGCCTTCTTAAAAGAAGCCCAAACCACCTCTGTCGACTCTGAAGTCTGAAGGAGCAATGGCTCCTCCAGGGTCCCTCCAGGTCTCCAAACTCAACCTGTTATGGAGAGTGAGCCCAGTAACTCTGCTGAGACATCTCATTTAGCTTGCTTGAATGCACGGCCTAACTTTTACTGAGGATGTCAGCACAAATCCTGATGTGAAATTGAAGCCTTTTTCAGACCTTTTTAATGCCACTACCAGCCAAATTTAAGACCACACTGTAAGTGGACATATGCTCTACCAGAATCAACACCCATATATTTACACTACACTGACTGCACCCACAGTCAAGTTTGTATTTTAAAATGATATAACAATTGATGTGAGAATAATAAATTAAACTTTACAATGCGACAATCAAGGCATGGGTGCATCAACTATGAGAAATCCTCCTGCCAAGAAATGTCACAATAAAAAAAGAACAATGGACTTTGATTAAAACATTCAATGTCACATTCTCCAAGATTACAACCATATGAAGTGGCAGATTTACAAGGTTCTTGAATATCTGAAATTACACATTCCCACGAATTGCTGCTTCAAAGACAATGTCTTAGACAAGATACCTAGGTAATGTGTGTTCTGATAGCTGCTACAGCCCATGCTACATTTAGTACCAACTGTCAAATTTTCACACACACACACACACACACACGCACGCACACACACACAGACTTGTATTGATGTTTATAAATACAGATAAAAAATCTTTAATTAGACTACTAGAAACATGCATAACGTACTGTTCCACCTTAATGTACATGTTGTTTTAAGCATTTTTGAGGTATTTGCAGTTCAATTTCAATATTTTCCAAGCGAACATATGCAAGAGGCGAATGCTTAAAATGCCCACAATATTTCTCCCATTGGCAACAACGCCACTTACACTTCATTGTGATAGCAACCCCACAAGCTGCAGCCACTGCACGAAACAGCCCAAGCTAGCGACTCACAAATCATTGATTGCTTTTTTTTCATATTAATCTCATTGTCTCACAATTGCCCGCGATTTGTTCATCAGGATTTACCATTAAACGCTGCTCCCACCTCTCAAAACTCTGCTTTTACAAAGATTTCAAATTGCCGTGCTATTAGATGTGCAAAAACACATCTAAAACCTAAAAGAGCTGTCGTGTGATTGATTGTACAAATAGATTTAACAGGAAATTGAAACTATCTTTTTAAAGATTGCCAAATCCTAAATAAACTACACACACGACCACACAAAGAGCATGGGTAATAGTGTGAATAGGAAAATGACAAAGGTGGTGACTTATTTTACAATGACACCCATCCTCGTTTATCATTATTCCTTTCAAAATGCTAAGGGTAGAATAAATGAAATAATAAGAAAACTAAATGAGACAGACATGTCCAGTAATGTGTGCATTAAGCAATGGATGAAGGAGAACAATGCACACCACTTGATTTTCTGATTATGTATTTCTATACCTTTGTATGAATAACTGCACTGCATGCATTCACACCACTAACTGTAAGCTATTGAATATGAAGTGCATGTGCAATTTTTCTCATATTAATTAAAATTCCCCCATAAAGTAAAACCAAGGGGTGTGCAAGAGTTGCTATCAACTCAAAATGCTGAAGCAATATCTTGTTACAGCAGGGATTGTTTCTTTTTGTTCTAAGACTTAGTGCACAAAAAAGGAAAGGGATCAAAATGGAAAAATGATTGTGTGTGTAAAGGAAAGGGATCAAAATGGAAAAATGATTGTGTGTGTCTTTGCTTGTGGACATCAAAGGTCTGTGATTAAAAACTGACTTGGTAGTATAGCCTGACAGAGTCAGATACATTTAATCTTAAATTAAATATTTTTCAACAACATACTAAAATACAGCAGTCCCCCCTTATCTGCAGGGGATTTGTTTCAGCGGACACCTGAAAACCATGAATAGTACTGATCCTATGTTTTTTCCTATACTGTTCATACATACCTATGATAAACTTTATTTTATAAATTAGAGACAATAAGAGAATAAAAGCAATAGAACATTTACAGAAATACACTAATAAAAGTTATGTGAATTCAGTCTCTCTCTAAAAAGAGCACCCAGGAGGAATTCAGAAGTGTAAGCTTCTGTCGATATTATTACCCCAATTTTGTGGTTTAGAAATTACACAGTGCTATCAATAAAGCTTTCTTTATTACGTAAATTATTCTTAAAATCTCAGCAACTCAAAAATATTCAAGTAGAATTCATAAACTTGAATTAGTCATGCCTGGGTTATTGACTGGAACAATGGGCCCAGAACCACGATAGCTGGATGTACCTGTTTCCACCTTGGAGTGGTCCACCCTCTCTGTTACCTTCTCTTGACTGATGAGGTAATCCACAATCCGAACACCAATGGGTGGTTCTGTGTGGTTCCATTCCATAACGACCATTGAACTGCTAGGCTCAAAGACGTGAGACAGCTTCAGTCTGCAACACAGAGAAGGAGGGCAAGGAGATAATGAGATGCTAAACTATCCTAAACAAACTACAGCTAAAGAGAAATCCTCAGCTAATGGGCCAGCATGTCTGTAAATGGGTGATACCCAGTCCCTTGAATGATTCTCTGTGGCTTGAGTCCCCCAGAGGACACTGGGTTTGGATTCCAGTGTGGCAGGGATTTGTGCCCCCTTACATGAGGACCTGAGAGGGTGGTCCCCTTCAGAGACCAGAGAGGATAATCTAAAGTCCCCTGCCCAGAATGTGGGTGGTTAAAGTCCTGTATATTGCGGGTATTGTCATGGATAGCTCCGGGAATCCTTATCATCATCCCAGCTACGTCCCCCTGGGATTCTGACCCATAGGGCAAGGTTTTTAATTGACATAGGATAAGACAGACAGGACAGAAACGTCATAACACTACAATGACCGGACTAGGGAAACATACTGAAACGCGGACTACATACACTGAACTAATGACAGCAACAGGAAACAGCTGATGAACACAGGGAATCCACATGGGGGTAATGAGTGGGTGTGACATAGGGAAGAGCGGACGAGCGGATCATGACAACTGTCGTAAACGTGGGAATGAGTTGCGTTGTGAATCTGCGGTCGATTACTTTTCCTCAAGGACCCGGATGTGTGTCACAATAGATTAAAATTGAATTTGCAAACTGAAAACTTTCGAGGTAGGATAAATGCTGTTTCAAGTTGCTGGAATTCAGATTCAAACTATTTGATTCAAATTCAGTTTTTAACTGCAGATTCAAATATACAAAATTCATATTCAAGTTTCTAGTGGCACAAATATCAGCCCATAGCCATGCCCCCTCATTTACCTCCTGTGAAACCCTGATTGTAACCAGCTGTTTCCTGTCATTTCGATTTGTCCTGTGTATTTAAGTCTGCGTTCAAGTCTTTTTACCCAAGTCCGGTCATTGAAGTGTTCTGAAGTGCTGTTACATGTTCTCCGTATTGCTGTGCCCTGCCTGCAATAAACCCCAGTTTCAGGATCTCTGTCTGCCTTACCCTGATTCCTGACTCCCTGCTTGCTCGTCCTGCGCACGGACTGACACACGATCGTCACAGAATGACTGGACTTCGGAAGAAGACGCCTTCGCTTAGCAATGCCGAATAGAGCGATCTGGTCGAAGAAGCAGTTTATCTCCTGCAGCAGCCGGAGGTCCAAAATGACTCTACTGCTCACGCCCTGGCTGCACATAAGGGAGAGATCCTGGCAAGGATCTCCCAGACAAAGGACTCATTCCTCGCTGGGGAGGTCTGGCTGAACCTGCAGCATTTGAGGAATGGATTGGCGGAAACGATGATGAGCCAAGTGGCCCTGGACAGGTCCATTACTGGACTCCCCAGAGCTGCCCTCAACTCCACCATCGAAGGGGAAAAAGAAGCGGAGAAATGTGAAACTTAAGGAGAAACCGGAAGAAGAACCGGCAATCTTCTTATGGGCCGTCTCTCTCTCTGCCGCTTCCTCCCCAGCCAGATATGAGGAGGAACCCCTCCCGATCCTGAACCCGGCAGTGTTTACCCCCTCACCATCACCACCGCCGTTTCACCGCCACCTGCTGCGATGCACCCGGGATCAGCAGCACACCTCTTTTCTGGGACTTGCCTGGCTCTTAAAGGGGCCTGGTCAGTATAGGATGCTATCCTGCGGGTCCCAAAGGCTCTTAAAGGGGCAACGCCTGCTCCTAAGGGGCCAACCCTGGCTGCTATGCCCGTCGTTCCGGACCAGCCTGTGTCTATTGTTCCCGGCTTGCCTGTACCTGATGTTCCTGGCTTGCTTGTTCCTGGTGCTTCTGACCTGCCCCCTAAGGTGCCCGCTCTGCCTCCAGAGCTCAGAATGGTTAGAAACAAAGAACTTTCTTGTGAAACTTGTCAATCTATTCTTGTTCTGAGAAGTGAAGGCTATTCCATGTGAGAAATTGCCAAGAAACTGAGGATCTGGTATAATGCTGTGTACTACTCCCTTCACAGAGCAGAGCAAAATGGCTCTAACCACAACAGAAAGAGGAGAGTGAGGCCCTGGTGCACAAGGATAAATACACTATATTGGCAAAAGTATTGGGACACCCTACCAAATCAATGAATTCTGGTGTTCAAATCACTTCCATAACCACGGGTCTATAAAATGAAGCATGCAGACTGCTTCTACAAACATTTGCAAAAGAATGTGTCGCTCTTAGGAGCTCAGTGTCATTGACTCCCCTTCAAGCACCTATAGTGTTAGGCCACTCTTTGCTCGTTAAACATAATCCTCACCTAGACTGGAAGAAAGGATCCACTATGGGTTGGAGCCCTTTTTTCCATGCTCAGTGTCTCCGCACAGCTCTTCCTTCAGTTGTTCCTGAGGAGAAGAAGGACTTTCCTGACCTGTCTTCGGTTCCTGCAGACTATCTGGACTTAAAACTGGTATTCAGTAAGTCTCCGGCTTCCTCTCTTCCTCCACATCGTCCTTTCGACTGCGCCATTAACTTCCTACCTGGCACCTTGCCTCCTAGGGGCTTTCTGTACTTCCTGTCTGTCCCTGAAAGGAAGACTATGAATGACCATATCAGCAGTGCTTTAGCATCAGGAATAATTCAGCCGTCATCATCTCCAGCAGGCGCCAGTTTCTTCTTTGTGGAGAAGGATGACTCCCTTCGGCCTTGTATTGACTATCATAGTCTGAACCAGATCACAGTCAAGAACTGAAATCCAGTACCCCTGATGTCTTCAGTTCTTGATTTACTTCAGGGTGCCAGGTGGTTCACTAAATTGGACTTACGGAGCGCCTATCATTTGGTTAGAATCTGTGAGGGGGGTGAGTGGAAGACTGCCTTTAATACGCCCTCTGGACACTATGAATACTTAGTTATGCCTTTTGGGTTAAATAATGCACCGGCCGTATTCCAAGGACTGATTAACTACGTCCTTCGGGATATGTTGGACAAGTTTGTCTTCGTTTACCTTGATGACATTTAGATTTTTTTCCCCAATCTAAACAGGATCACATCCTACACGTTCGAGAGATGCTCCAACGACAGCTGGTTAATAAGTTGTATGTCAAGGCGGAGAAATGTGACTTTCACTGTCAATCAATATCCTTCCTTGGGTTTATTCTCGGGGAGGGGTCAGTCTGGATGGATCCAGAGAAGATCTGAGTGGTCGCGGAGTGGCCCCAACCTCGCAACCAGAAGGAGATGCAGCGTTTTACCGGTGTTTTATTTAGGGATATAGTACCATTGTTGCGCCTCTCACAGCGCCCTCTACCAAGGTCTGTTTTCAGTGGTCCCAGGCAGCACAACAGGCATTCCTGGGATTTCGCAAAAGTTTCACCTGCACTCCTATTCTTCAGAACCCTGATCTCTCTTGACAGTATGTAGTGGTGTTGGATGCTTCCGGCACTGGAGTGAGGGCTGTTCTTTCCCAGAGGCATGTTTCAACCAATAAGTTGCATCCTTGTGCTTTTTTCCCCATAAGTTAATCCCGGCCGAAAGGAACTACAATATCAGCAATCATGAGCTGCTGGTGATCCGCCTGGCTTTGGAGGACTGGCGGCAGTGGTGTGAAGGCACTAAAGACCCTTTTCTGATTCTAATGGAACACAAGAATCTGTAATACTTACAGTCGGTAAAGCAACTCAATGCCTACCAGGCTAGGTGGTCACTATGTTTTTGTCATTTTAACTTATCTCTTTTAGACCAGGCTCCAAGAACTGCAAACCAGATGCTCTGTCACGCCAGTTCAGAGAGGAGGACCAAAAGGAGTGCCTTGGACCGATTCTGCCTAACTCGTTTCATTGGGGCAGTGACCTGGGGCATTGAGGAGGCCGTTCAGGCTGTGCAACAATTCACCCGGGCTCCAGAAAGCTGTCCACCCAATCGACTGTTTGTCCCAGATTTTTTACGCTCACGGGTCCTCCAGTGGGGACATGACTCTCTTTTAGCTTGTCATCCAGCAGTGCATCGTACCTGAGCACTCCTAGGACAGCGTTTCTGGTGGCCTACCATGCTGCAGGATATCCGGGGTTATGTCACTGCTTGCCCTGCTTGCTCTCCAAATAAAAACCCATCCCGTGCCACAACAGGCCTATTGCAGCCTCTTGCGATTCCATGACACCTCTGGTCTCATGTGTCTTTGGATTTTGTGACTGGTCTTCCTCTCTCTAGAGGTCCACAAATTGTGTCCAGATTCTGGAGGGAATTTTGTAAGCTGATTGGTGCCACCCCAAGTCTTTCTTCTGGTTTTCACCCACAGTCCAATGGGCAGACGGAGAGGGCCAACCAGGACCTGGAGCGGATGCTACATTGTATGGCCATCTACTCACCTGAATCTTGTAGTGTCTTCCTCCCTTGGGTGGAATACACCCATAATTCTCTGCCTGTATCCTCCACAGGAATGTCCCCGTTCCAGTGCTGTCTTGGTTATCAGCCACCTTTCTTTCCAGCATTGGAAAACGAGATTTTTGGTCTCGTTCCATTGTTTTCTCCATCACTGTCAGCAGACATGGAAACTAGCCAGGACCTTCCTCTTGCGTTCCCGTAGTTGAATGGAAAACTATGTCAACCGACGCAGTTCCATGTGGGTCAAAGGATTTGGTTAAATGCCAGGGACCTTCCTCCACGGGTTCAGTCTCGTAAGTTGGCATCCCAATTTGTTAGTCTGTTTCCCATTTCCAAGGTAATTAGTCCCTCTGCAGTTCCGGCAACTACAGTATGCGGCACATCCATCCCACGTTCCACTCCTCAGACCCCATGTGATCAGCCCCCTGGCTTCCCCTGTATTGCCTCCACCTCCCAGGTTAGTTGATGGTGGTGAAGTATACACCGTTCGGTGCTTGCTGGATGTTCGTCATTGGGGTTGTGGCCTCCAATATTTGGTGGACTGGGAAGGGCATGGTCTGGAGGAACGGTCTTGGGTTCCTGCACGGCATATTCTTGATCTCATCTTGTCTCTCATCTCCAACTTCGAGCGCAGTCGTGCCAAGGAACGCGTTCTCCCACCGGGTGGTGGTCATGGCGGGGGGGGGGGGGGGGGGTTAGTACTGTCATGGACTGCACCGAGAAAGCCCCTTTGACGTCACACAGGACTTCCCTGTCACACCCTCAGGGTTTCCCGAGAAGGGAGTGTGGCAGCAGCTGGACTGCTCACTCCCTACCGGCTCTGGGAACCGGGAGAACTGGTTACGATACACTGCCCTCTGAGAGCTGGAACCCATTAGAGTAAATGAAAGATCCTACAGTACTTATTCTGGCGTGACAGATGCGAGATCTTCAGCATATTTTGCGAGTTCGAGCAATTCTGTCCCATATTCCCCCCACTTGTCTAGACCTCTGCCTGCCTGCTTCCCTGACTGTTCTGTTTTCCCAACAACGATTCCAGCCTTGACCTCTTAGTTTCCAACAAAGATCGCCTGATTAACCGCCTGTCCCCAGTCCTGAGCCTGCCTTGCCCCCTGGATTACTGATGACGATCACCTGACCCCTGCCTGTCTCACGACCATGAGCCCAGAACCACATCTTGATCCTTTTCCTGGATTACAGTCTGCTAAATAAAGCCTCTTGTACCTGATTGATCCACAGTACCGTCCTCCCTCTTCACACGACCCGCACCGTGACAGTGAATTCAAGTGAGGTACTGTGATAGGATGCCACTTGTGCCAGTCCATTCACGAAATTTCCTTGCTACTAATTATTCCATGGACAACTTTTAGTGGTACTATAACAAAGTGGAAGCAATTGGGAATAACAGCCATGAAGTGGTAGGCCGCATAAAATCTCAGAGCGGGGACAACGCATGCTGAGGCGCACAGTGTGCAGAAGTTACCAACTGTCTGCAGAATCAATATCAACAGACCTCCAAACTTCATGTGGCCTTCAAATTAGCTCAAAAACAGTGCATAGAGAACTTCATTGAATGGGTTTCCATAACTGAGCAGCTGCATCCAAGCCTTACATCACCAAGTGTAATGTAAAGCGTCGGATGCAGTGGTGTAAAGCATGTCGACACTGGACTCTCTGGAGTGACGAATCATGCTTCTCTGTCTGGAAATCCGATGGATGAGTCTGGGTTTGGCGGTTGCCAGGAGAATGGTACTTGCCTTACTGCACTGTGCCAAGTGTAAAGTTTGATGGAGTATTTATTTAGCTAAATTTCTTAAACTCATTTCATGTATGTTTTAATAGAAAACAAGGAAATTTCTATTTAACCCCAAACTTTTGAATGGTAGTGTACTTCATAAACAATACTAATAATGTATTGCACTGTATCCAGAGAGCTCAACCAAACTTGCATGGGTTTATATTATATAGTTCTCTAAAATGGCTTGGATTATGCAATTTAAATGTCATTATGAATTGCTGTCGCTTATGCCTTCTGCATCATTAGGGTTACCATGTAATCCATGTCAGGAGGGACACTTTGAGCTATGACAGGGTTTGTAAACTGCAGTTTCAGTTAAGAAGATCTGTGGTCTGTACTACGAAGCGGGGTTACTGGCTTATCGGGGTAACTTGTCGGATTTAAGGTAGTCTGGGCACAATGTAAGTGAACGAATATTAAGTCAATTTAAACTGTGGTACCTTAAATCCGACAAGTTACCCCGATAAGCCAGTAACCCTGCTTCGTAATACAGGCCACTGGATTTCACTTTAGCACTGAGTTCTTGCTGTGTGCTGATTGGTCAGTCTTATATAATCATGCATATGTCACTAGTGAATCAGCTGTATGCATATGTCACTAGTGAAATCATGTGAAACAGCTGGATGAGTCTTTCAATCAAGGAAACAGACCAGGTAAAGCACAAGAAATTAACTATTTAGCGAAGCACAGGAGCCTTTAAGTTTAAACTGAAGTTGCTCATAGTGTCCCCCCTGACATGGACTAGTTGGTCACCCTACTCAGCATGTGGCGGGTGGTTTGCCCCAGGCCGGCACCTACGTGGGCTGGGGAAGAGGCGCACAGGTGGGCAGCCCATCAGCCCCGAATGCACTTGAGTCACAGCGACACCAGTCGTCGATGACATCGCCTTTTCCCGAGCACCACAGCATACTTGTGAGTGCCTCCTGCAGGGCCTGTGACAAACGGAGAGGGAGGCATTTCTGCAAGATCTCCTCACTTATGTCAATACATAATACACATCTGCATGTAAGTGTCAGCTTTGGTATTTTTTTCAACATTCTCGAGGGAAGAAAAATAAGTAAACAAAACGTGATTGTTTGGTTACATCTGGACAACGTGAATATACACTACTCAAAAAAACTAAAGGAACACTTTGAAAACACATCAGATCTCTCAATGGGAAAAAAATCATGCTGGATATCTACACCGATATGAACTGGGTAATGTGTTAGGAATGAAACGATGCCACATTGTTTGATGGAAAAGAAAATGATCAACCTAAGAAGGCTGAATTCAAAGACACCCCTGGTTAAATTTCCAGGCAACAAAAAGTGTAGCAGGTGTAGCAGATACTGATCCAGCAGCAGAGAGGCTACAACAAGATCTGTATTTAATTAGTGACTGGGCAGATACCTGGCAGATGAAATTTAACATAGATAAATGTAAGGTAATCCATGCAGGGAGCAGAAATA